ATATAGGGAAGGGAACCCAAAAACTAGCAAATCTCCCCATCGTAACTATATGGACATAATCATCAAATCGAAAATCTCAAAAGTCACAACAAACTTCTCTTATGGTAACGCCTTAGTCATCATATCAGTACTATTATCATTGATTGTGAATTTTGACCAACTTCAACTACTTAACATAAAAAACATCATGTATTTAATAATACTTCACATTAATATGCTTAGACCTTGAATGAAAAAATTGAATTCTTACCAAAATAAATAATATTGATTCAAATAGTTTATTGCTTAGACTAACTCAAGTTATGGATTCAAATAGGAATAATATTGATTTAGAAATAATATTAATGAATGAAAAATCTTATTTTAATAGTGGTAGGATACAAATTCCAATTTTTTACTGGTTACTTAGGCATAAAACACCAATTATTTTTGTGTTACATGGTAAATAATATTTTTCATATGAGAATTTATAATATGAAGTATAATGAAATTTCATACCCAATGAACAATTTAATTGGAAGAGCTATTCAACTGAAAACAATTTTTCAATTTCAATTATATTGAGACAATTTTTTTTATACTTTAAGAAAACAATTTATATATCATGTTAATAGTTAATTAATTATTTTTATTCTAGATAACTTAATAAATAATTCTACAATCAATTTAATAATTAATAAAATTATTAAATACATCTCAAATATACATAGATATAAAATATAAATTAAAATGAATGTCAATTGAGACAAAATTAACATAAGAGTATTTTATAATTCATTTGACTAATTTACACATTTAAAAAGTATATTATAAATTCTCATTTTCAAACGACTTTGGTAAGTGCTCAAACCAATAGAATTTTTATTTTACCAATATTTGATATTTAATATGTTAGAACTAATGATCTTAATTTGGTGTCTATATGCTCCAAATTTTTTAATAATAATTTTAAATATTAAATAGATTTATTAACACTTACACAAGCTTAAATGTTGGATGAATTTATTGACAAGTCGTGCTGCATGTCTTTTAATAAACAAAAACCTTTCAATAGGTTATTTTTTTATATGTAAGTGTAGAAACTTTGACATACCTAATATTAATATTACTAGAATAAATAAAATTAAATATGTTATTAATAAATATGCAAAAGCACTTTGGTAGTTTCGATAACTTGCTACCACCTCTTTCAAGGACGGAGCCAAGGGGGGACCTACGGGTGCCACGGCCCCCCCAACAATTTTAATTTTTTTTTATATACATATATATATTACTATATGGCACCCCCTATATGGCACCCCCAGTATTGAAATCCTGGCTCCGTCCCTGAGTCCTCTTTTGACCACCGGAATGTTGTCTTTATTTTCAAAGAGCTCCCTTTACAGCGTGTTTGAATTTGCGTTAGAGCAAGCTAACGCACGTATTTGGATGAAAAAATGTGATTCCTCTCTTTGAATAGATGTTTGATTTTCTCTTCTTTACATAATTTTAAGTGTGAAAATCAATTTTGCCTGAAGCTAATAAAAATAGCTTCTACGTTTAGAAAATTGATTTTAATAAATCAATTCTTAAAACGCAACACCAAACACACACTTATCCTCGTTCCTCCGTTTTGCCATTGACGAGCTCATCATAGTGCCATTGTTATTCCTCTGTACTACTTCATTGGTTCGTTTTCAATGATTATTTGAATTCGATTGTTGTTGGTTTGTTGATTTAACTAATTCGAATTTGGGTATCATTATGGTTTGTTGATTTGTCTAATTGCATATTACATCTTTGATAAAAAAATGTTATCTTTTATTTGCTTAATTATTCATTTTTTTTACTTACTTTGCAACTAATAAGAATTGTATTGACTTGTTATGCTAAAGTTTTTGCGCGCGCACACACACATATATATATATATATATATTCTATTAATTAATTTTTATTTGTTCAGAGAGAGAGGGGGAGACATCATGAGAGATGAGAGAGAAATGAGTTAAAGAAAAAAATTAATAGGAGAGAAAAAAATAAGTTAGAAAAATAATTTAATAGGAAAGAGAAATGAGTTGGAGAGGAAATTTAATAAGAGAAAGAAATGACTTGAATTTGGATCCTCTCTTGCAATTTTCTCTCTCCAGTCTCTCTCCTGCAACATTAATAGCCATGAGATATATCTAATGACTCAAATTTAATCATTTAAGAAGTTACATTAATTAGAAGATTAAATTTGAGCCATTAGATATATCCTATGGCTATTAATGTTGCAGGAGAGAGACTGAAGAGAGAAAATTACAGGGGAGGATCCAAATTCAAATGACTTAGAGAATGAAATTAATAAGAGAGAGAAAATATTTTATTTTCATTTAAAATTAAATTAAATTACTATAATATCCTTTCTAAGAATTATAACCAAATAAAAAAAATGAATGATTTTTTTGTCCTAAATTTTTTGTGTAGGTTGCTAACATACTCCCACTATAAAATAGGTAGGAGTATATTAGCATTCCCTTATATATATATATAAGAGATTCTTTTACTCTAGGAGTAAGTCTGTCTAGATTTACTCTGTTCAATAACTCATGTTCTACAAAAATCATTTGATACTTCGTATCATTAATTCGAATCAATATATAAAATGATTTTATGATTATCCGTCAATTTGAATTAATGAAATGAAATATCAAATGATTTTCAAATTTTCTAAAAATTTGCAAATTTGATCTATGCATTAAGAACTTTAAATTGAACTGTTGGATCGTTGAAATTTGATGTAAAACATGAGTTATTGAACGGAGTAAATCTATGTAGACTTACTCTTAGAGTAAAAGGATCCCTCCTCTCTCACACACTCATACACACACAGACACACCGGTGTAACTTTTACTAAGTGTTATACCGCTCAATAACTTTATATTAAATGCGAATTTTGTAAATCCAACCGTTAAATTGAAAGTTCATATTTCTTAGATCATATATACAAAATTTTATATCAATCCAAGATGATTTGATACTTCATTTTTATAAAACAAAATTGACGTAATATATTCATTTTAAAATATACTAAAATATGAATACTTTGATCACCTTCAAATTGTTGTTCAATTTTAACAAAATTTGATATACACGTATAAAGTGATATGAACTTTCAATCTAATGGTTGGATCTACAAAATTCACATTTAATATAAAGTTATTGAACGGTGTAACACTTAGTAAAAGTTACACCAATATAATTATAACCCCTCATATATATATATATATATATACACACACACGAGGTATAACTTTGGTATTGGATCCAATAAAGTAAATTAATACATCTAATTCTAATTTTATATTTAAGTCGAGGACTGAATTACATTTCTTAATATAAATATTATTTAATAATAATTATCATATTATTTATTTAATATCAAATTAATATTATAGTTATAATAGTTAATGAACAAACATTTAATAATTGAATCAATATTATAGAATTAAAAATTAAAAAAAAAACTAAATCTTAGATTGAATATTATAAAGAAGAAAAGGCATAATTTAATTTTTTTATATGACGATTTTATTTTAATAGCCAAGAAATGTTGTATTAAAAGGTACAAGGGTATCAATCCATAAACAAGATATTGACTAATATTAGCATATTAAGGTTAGATATAATTTGCACATGTCTTAGAACAAATTACTATCTAACCGAATTGTTATATTACAAAATATTTAAAGTATGAGAGTAAAAGTTCCTACCCCAATTGTGCTTATCCTCCAAACAGTTAGGTTCCACATAGATTTGTTTCCACTAATTGACTATTATGATCTATGCTTTGCATTAATTTTGTATTTTCCACCCCTTGCTCTTCCTCTATTGTATACTCTCCGTGTCTACAGTTGATCATTCGTCCTATTTAACAGACACAATGCTGAATTTAAAGATCATTTTAGAAAAGAGTATTTAAAGGTCTTTTGCAGACTGTGTAACCAAAACCAAGCAATTTGTAAAATATCCTTCATTATTACATCTTCATCAAAGCAACCACATCTAAACACATAGGTTTCTATGCCTCCAAATACTCCACATAGTTGTTGTCCAAATAGTTTGCCACATTTCCCCACCTGTTGTTGATCTAATGCTGGCTACTATAAGGACTACTTAACCATCCCAACTACTTCTTCCATATACTGTCTATCTTGCTACAGGTACAAAATATACGTGATATCAATTTCAATCCTAATTTATAGAACGAGCACATTTTTTGTTGATTGCTTAGACAAATATTTCTATATGGAAGTCCTCCATGAAACACTCTCCACATAAATAGTTGTGCCTTTGGAGGATCTTATACTACATATTTGTTTAAATTTTTCCTCCACTTGCCTATCTTTGCTAGCTGCCTGGAGTCGACTTGATTGTATAAATTGCAGATTCGTCGGGCAGCCAAGTCCAAGATTCTTGTGCCTATTTTTGAATTATAAGTTAATTACTTATTCACATATCATTAAAAATTTGCACCATACAATGTTTTAATGTATTAATTTAATTTGTCTAACTTATTTTAAAAACCATATTTAGATAACCATCAAATTAATACAAAATATTTATCATAATAACTAATATAGTAATATCTGTAAAAAATGTAAATTCCTCTAAACCCAAAATCAAAATTTAAATTCTGGATAAATTAATTAAGAGGCATAAATTTTGTAACCACTTACGTCAACTATCCCGTTAATATTTAAAAATAAAAAAATAAAGGCAAAGAATATGAGAGAGGACCATTATTGAGTCAGCCCTCACGTGACAGTGGCTCCTCCCAGTCAGTGCAAACTGCAAAGAACTCACAATGTGCATTCGCCGCATTTCTATCCATCCAAACTCATTTTCCATTAAATTATTATTATTATATTTATTATTATTATTATTATTATTATTCCTTACTTGACAATACAAAAATTTAAAAACTCACTAATTTTACAAAATCATCTTTCCCTCGCTAACAACAATAACACTCGGATCGATCATTTCGTACGAACTACAACACCACCTTCCAAAACGACGTCGTCGAACCCCACGAACCTGCAACAAACGCCGTTGTTCAAGGCCCTGGGAACCTGAACCGGGTTCGCGGTTGGGCGAGACGGGCCGAACCACTTCCTCTGCATGAACCGGTTTTTCCTCCAAGGCGGAACCGGCAGCCCCCTACTCTTGAAGCACCGCCTGGCCGCGTCGCACACGATCGAAACGCTGCGTTTCAGCTCCTCCGCGCGTCCGACGAACACGGCGGGAACGGCGGCCAGCGCCTCCGCGAACCGCCGCGTGGGCCGCGCAATCTCGACCTGCGCGCGGAAGTCGAGGTCCACGAAGTACCGCCGCGTGGCCTCCCCGGAGTGGACCACGTCGATGAACTCGTGGCTCCCGCCGGAGGCGTCGCACACCGCCGCGTCGTGCCTCCGCTCCCGGAGAAACGCCGCCACGCTCTGCCGGAGGAGCGCGGCGTTCCGCTCCCGCAGAAACGCGAACCTCTCCAAGGCCTCCGACACGTGCGCGATGAGCGTGTTCATGTAAGGATCCGCAATCGCATTGCGCGAGATTGCGAGACTCGGCGACGGCGAGTCACTCACCGAGTCGGGCGAGTCGTCGAGCGAGTCAACTCGGTCCCAGTCCGAGTCGTGAATTGGTGAGTCCTCTTCCTCGCCACTGTTGCTGTGTTGTTCGAGGAAGCTGTGGACGAGGTAAGAGAGGGAGAGGTTGTTGTCGGCGTCACTGTCGCCGGAGCTGGGACTCCGGTGATCGGCGCCGACGAGTCTGGCTCGGGCTTCGTCGTCGAAGGGGTGAGTGACTCGCTTCTTTGTTGTGAAAGGTAGCATTTTTGATTTGAGTTGAGTGGTGAGTGGTGAGAGAGAGAGAGGGGTTTTGAAGAGGGAAAAGGAATAATGGGTATTGAAGAATTTTGTGCAGAATATTCGTGGAAACTCATGCTGTGCTTTTTGGTTAATCCTAATCTCTTATTAGATGCTTCGCAAACATGGCATATACTTGAGAAGGGGAAGATCGAAGCATGGGGTGGGTCTTTGACGTGTCAGACTGTGCTTGCGCCATCTGTCTCTTTTACTTTTTTATTTTAAGAAAATTAATTTATTTCTCAAAATTTTACATATGTATTGAATGAATTAAAGTAAGAAAAACTTAGAAAGGCTGTTGAATTTATTTTACATTCATTTAAGTCCTCAAAATTAACTTTTTACTTTTTGTTTTCATTTTGGTCCTTAGTTTAAGACCTAAATGGTAATAAATATAAATGCTTATAAATTAGAATTAAGAAAATAGTTCATTTTAATAATTTAAATGAAATTCTAAAAATATTAGAATTTATTCAAATTTTGGTTTAACTAGTCATTTGGTCCTTATAGTTTTAGTTCATAAAGTTAAAATCATTTATTTTTTTTTGTGATATTTTGTTTTTCATAAATAAAAAATGGTACATTTGTTTAATTAGTATTTATTTTATTGACTTAATTAAATTTAGTTTGTTGGGTTTTAAAAATAAATAATGGGTGTTTTAGAAATATAAAAATTGGGGGTAATAAGCATTTTAACACAAAGGCTAAGTATTGGATTTGGACTCTCAAAAGTTAACTTTTGGGATATAATTGATGCAAGACTTATGAACTGATAGAAAACTACTTAAGAAGAAAACCACCAAAGAGCTTTTGGCTAAGGAGTAATAGAAATCAGTACTAGATCAATAAACCATACCCTGAAAGTTTAGAGATCCTCATTTGAGGTAAGAGAGGGAGCGAGAACTGTCTCTCATGTACATGTATAAGAAATGTAAGTAGTGGGATTGTTCCTAAACCTCTTAAGGTTATAACATATGTGATTGTTTGTTGAATTAAGCTTTTTTCCTTCCTTTGAGATTTATAGGGTCATATGTGCTATTTTTTTTTGTAATTGATGTTTATCCTTGAATCATGTATCAATTGTGTGTTATAGTATTATTGAATCAATGAATGATGACTAGAGTGGTGTTTTGGTGCAGAAACCTCTAACATAGGTTGGTGTTAGAGGTGAATGTTATTCTATGCTTGTCTAACTTTTGAAGAAGATTCGTCTTCGTGTTCGATAGGAAATACCCTTTGGTAGTGAAAAGAAAATATGCTTAGTACAACAATGATAAGTTTTTGTTAGAAGTTGGTAAAATATATTAAAAGTTAGATTAAAAATATATTAATAATATAGTAGATAGGTCATTTGGTTACTAGAAACTAACAACCCTTGTTAAAAACCCTCAAACATAGAGGCACCCTCGTGAGTCCAAGTATGCTCATTCAGCAGCCTCAAACATCGAGGGACCCTCGTGAGTCTAGGTATGCTCGTGTAGAAGTCTTGGATACCAAGAAGAATTGCTTAATCCAAAGGGGGGTGAATTGGATTCAATGCCACTTGAAAAAATTTTCAGAGTTTAAGGATCTTTATTTCATTCAAAACTTTTCTAAGACACTTTTCAAAGAAGTATATTGAATCACTTGTATATGGAAATAACTTCTATATGAGTTCTTGGTTAATCTTTATTGAATCAGCTCTAACAATAACATGTATGCAATGACAATATTCACTTTTAATCAGTTTATGCAAGCAAATTACTCAGAATCAGTCACTGTAAAATTCAATTAAAGATTAATCAATACAAGAGATAAGGATGAGAGAAGAGTGCAAAGTATTTTATCCTGGTTCAACCACTTCACATGTGACCTACATCTAGTCCTCAATCATAATCTGATCAAGATTTGTTCCACTATCTCAATAAAGAAGTTTTACAAGCATACCACACATGCACACATTTCAACACTCAAGATAGACACTTTCTTGCACCCAAGAAAGCACTTCTTGTAGAAACCCACTACAAGAATTTCTTACCACTTGAGACACCTACTCAAGATTTCTTTACACATTACACAAAGAATTAAAGGAACGAATTCACCTGGAAGCTGAACAAATCAGACTATGAATTCTAGAGAAATCTCAATCCTTCTCTTCCAAGAATGTAGTGATGATGATGATCTCTCTCAAAGAATTTCACAAAATATTTTTCTTCTTGGTTTCATAAAGAAAACACTCCAAGAAGGTCACAAAGACTTCACAAAATCAGTTTTACTCCCTTCTATTCTTTGTTCATCTATCTGTACTTGTTTCAAAGTGTGAAAACTATTTATAAAGTTTTCCAGACCCAGATAATCGATTATTTTTAAGGATAATCGATTATTTTGTTCTTCATGAATTTTGGAAATCACTCAAGAACAGAATAATTAATTATTTTGCAGGATAATCGATTATTCTAGAGAGTACTTCCTGGAATAATCGGTTATTTCTCAGATAATCGATTAGTACAGCAAGGTTCCTTGAACCTCTTGCTGGAATAATATATTATATTTAATAATAATCAATTATTTTGAATTAGTTTTCAAAAACTCGATTTCACACTTTAGAAAACTTTCCAAGTCATTTGAATCATCATCACACTCACTCTTAGGGGTGTATTGGTTTAGGATTTCATAGGATTTTAAAATACTTTTTTTTAGTAAAAAAATTCATTGGTATTCAGTCAGGATTTTATGTTCTTTAAAAAAAAATCCAGTGGTATTCAATCTGGATTTTCAAGATTTTTTAAAGAGTCCATTAAAATATATTAGTATTGATTTGAGATTTTTTACAACTTAAAATCAATACATTGGTATTCAAAAGTATAAGGATTTTAAAGGATTGTTATATTAGAGGGATTTTGAAGGACTTTCTAGTGCTATCTATAAATACCAAATTCATAAAACAATCTCATTCAAACCCATCATATTTTGGAGGATTGTTTGAAGTGACTTTTCAAGTGCTTCAAGAATTTCCAAGTGAATTTTTCATCTTTTTTTTTCTATGCTTCTGTCTTCTCTATTTTTTTCTCTACTAATAATACTACACTATTGTTCATTGCTCATATATAATAATGTAGTATTATTCCCATTCCATTCCCCTATTTTGTGAAATTCTGATATGTAAATGACAGTGTCATTGACTTGCTCTATTTTTCTCTTCGTTCTCTTTAATTGACCTGCTTTATTTTATTCTATTTAGTTTAAGTTTTTCCTTTATATAACACAAAAAAATGCTTGAAATTTCAACTTTTAAGTGGTAATTTTTTTTATAACACACGTCAACAAAAGGGAAAGGTGAAAGATGAAATTGATATCATGATCTCTACAATATATATATATATATATATATAAAAGATAAATTTGAGTTAGGGTTTCTATGAGTAGAATGAGATGAAAATGGATCTTAATTGGGGAAAAACCCTCTCAACATAAAAAATGGAATCTCTCTCCTTCCTTTGAGTTTGTTACTCTTATCCCTTCTCCTTTTATGACTCAACAATATTTTTTACTACGAATTTTTTTTATTTTTATATTGTAAAATTAGGATTTTTTATATTTTAAAAAAAGAAAATTAACATAAGACATTGCAGTATCTAATTTTTTAGGGTTTAGGATTTATGCCTCCATTAACTTATTTTAAAAAAGGAAATATTGCTAAAATATTTGTTAGAATAATTTACATTTATAAATATTGTTAAAAAATTATCATATAATATATAACTAAAATACTAATATATATATATTTTTCCTGTATCTAAATACTTCCGTTTATATAAAAAAAAATTATTTATCTAAATATTTTTTGATCCTTCATCTTCAAAATTATCGGTTAATGAAGATCATACTTTTGAGCTTATTATTCAAATTCAGGAGCAAGAGCGAGAAGATATTAATGCTTGGAAGATTAGTATAATTATAGATATATGGGTGAATGCTATTTAAGAGTATATGATATTATGGAGAATTATTAATATTATTATTTATCTAGACATTGTTATTTTATTATTATTTTTTTCTTTGACTCTTTTTAAATTTGAATGTATGAAAATTATTTTTGAAATCTTATCATATGTCAAAAATTCACAAAAATTCTACAAAATCCATAAAGTCTCGTAAAATTCATTAAAATCCTGATTTAAAAGTCTTGTAGAATTCATTAAAATCCTGATTTAAAGTCTTACAGAATCCTACAAAGTCTTAAAAGTCATGAAAATCCTACAAAGTCTTTTAATATCCACAAGATTTTTTTATAACTAAAAAAGTCCTTTAAAATCCTAATCCAAAAATGGGAGATTTATGTGTAGAGTCACATGGAGGAATGGGTGGAGAAGAGTTCCTATGGAACTTTTAATAATTTTATAATATTTTCTGTCCGAAGAATTGTTGGTATTATGAGATTCTGTATGTGTTTATGATTATGAATATGTGAAGAATTGTTAAAATTGATATTCTAAGAGAAAGATTGAGTTGTTTGAAATGTGTCTGTGAGTTAGGGTTCATGAGGGATTGGGGTTTTGATAATTAGTAGGTTGTTTTGTGAAATTGATAATTCAATCGGGTTTCATATTGATTTATAAATTTGGTTGTGATATTATTTGAAAAATTTGATGATTTAGAGAATGATTGGATTTATTGGGATGTGCTCTGTAAGTTAGGGTTCTTGTAGATTGATGAACACTCTTAATTATATGAATTGATGAGTAATTGAGAGATTTTTCATTGTGGATGTACCTTAGTATTTTTATGGTATCTTTCTGAGTGATTAACCAAATCAATTTTAGTTTTTTGTGTTATAAACTAGACACTTGGAGCTATAATTTAGACTCTAGAATCATATAAAAATGTTAAGAATTGATTGAGTTATGTGAGTTATAAGTTTAGTCTCCATTCTGGTGCGTGAAAGATTAAATTTAGTGTTGTTAGCCATGTGAGGTGACCTTAAAGAC